TCAGAGACTAGATAGACTTGTCTAACAAATACAGACTGCGGAATTGTACAAGTCTGTAGTTAAACTGTGCAAATGGCACAACTTGGTGAACACCCAAGGAGGGATGAGATGCCGAATGGCAAGACCACAAACTGGTAGTGCAAGGGCCACACAGAGAAAAATAGAAATCACTGATGCTCTGAAAGCATGATGCATGACAACATAAAGATAAGCCTATTTGAGGTATCCAGAAGCCATAAAGTCTCTCTGATAAAGGGAGGCCATAACATATTTGGTTGAATCCATGCAGAATTTCTGGAACTGAATGAAGGCATTTGTAATCCAGAATTGGGCGAATGCCCCCTTTTGGCTCAGGAGTGGTAAAACAGATTGGATTAAAACCCCCTGGAACCAGTCTGCCGTAGAAACTGAGACAAGGATTCCTTCACGCAGAAGACCCAAGAGGGCTCAATGGAGATCAGCTAATCTGTGCAGTATGGCAAGACATTTAGTGGTGAAAAACCAAGGGAGGGCAGGGAGCAAATCTCCAGTTTATAGTCCTGGGATAACACCTCCCGTCTCCAAGCATCAGAGATACAAGCAGTCCAAGCATCCGTAAAGTTTAACAAACATCCCCCCCAACTCTGGAAAGTTAAGGTGCACCTTTATGCAGAGAAAAGCTTGTCTAAGGATTTAATAGACCTAGAGTGCAAGGGCCTGCAGGTGGATGGGAAGCCAAGCTTGAGGATTTTCAATGTGGATAAGACTTTCGCACTGCTCCGTTGCAAACCCACAGTAAAAACTTGTGCATTTTGGCCGTGGTTCCAGTGCTCTTTTCACCTGACATGCAACTCAAGAAATAGACCAAAAAAAAAAGGGTTTTTGATGCATTTTTGGTCTGTTTTCCATTTCAATGGGGAGCTGCGTTTCTTGGTGTTTTTTACCAAACCAAACATGCACCAAAAATGCAGTAAGCAGGACTTTGAAAAACACAACTGACCAGTGTGAAGAGTTCCATAGGATCTAATGACCATGTGTTTTTCTTCCACTTTTTTAACGCAGAAAAAAAAAATCAGTGTGAAAGCTGCCTAAAAGGAACGTTTCTTAAAAGGGAGGCTTTGCAGTCTGTTCCTTAGGCTTGTTCCACTAGGAAAGATGGGTGCTCTTACCGCCAGTCACATCTATCATGATGTCATTATCAGTATTGATGTGAAACACAAGCAAGAAATGTGACAGAAGGCTTCCAGAAAAACTCCATAACTGAAAAATATAACACTATAGCCAACTGCTTAACCATTAGCCGCCCGGCCAATGGCCGTTTGGTGGCTTCAATTGTGTCCCTGCATTCCGGGTGCACGCCATTTGGCGTGCTCCCGCACATGCGCCGTTTGCGCTAATGCAGAGCGGCGCAGCAGTGTGATCTGTCACCGGCCGTGCACCTCGGACACGGCCGATGACAGATCCGAGTACCGGCTCCCGTTGCTGGTACCATGTGACCTGCTGTGACCAATCACAGCAGGTCACATGACATTTGTATACAATGGATGGCTTCATTCATGATGCCATCCATTGTATACTAGTGCCTAGCTGTGAATGGTCACAGCTAATCACATGCACGTCATGTGATTAGCTGTGACCAAAAATCACAGCTAAGCACAAAAAAAAAAAAAAAAAGCTGAATGAATCGATTTCATTCAGGTAAATGCTTGCTTATAGCAAAGTAATTCTTTGCTATAAGCAAAATGTGTAAAAAAAAAAAATACTGATCACTTCCCCAAAGTAGTACAATGTTACTATGGTAATATTGTACTACTTTGGTCATAGTAAAATATGAAAAAAAAAAATCTTAAAAAAAATTAAAAAAATGTAATAAAAAATTAAATATAAAAAAATATATATATATATATATTTTTTTTTTTTTTTTTCATACTGTCACCAGTCAGTGTCCCTGTTCACCGCCATGCCAGTTATAGGATGACGCTGTACTGCACTGGTGATAGTATGTAAAAAAAAAAAAAAATAGTGAAAATTTTTTTAATTTTTTCATTTTCCGAAAAACTATGACAAAAAAATACAACTTCAAAAAACTCGCCATGCCTCTTATGAAGTACGTCGGACTGTCTACTCTGCAAAAAGGGGTCATTTGGGGATATCTGTACTATTCTGACATTCTTGGACCTCAAGAAATTAGATTGGCTGTCAGTACTTCAGGATTGATCAATAATCAGATCTATACCATAGTTTGTGAACTCTATAAGTTTCCAACAAACTAAAAAATACATCCTAATTTGGTTTTTTTTTTTTTCACCAAAGACATGTAGCAGAATACATCTCGGCCTAAATTTATGAAGAACAATTATTTATTTGTAAACTTTTATAACAGAAACAAAGAAAAATGTGTTTTTTTTTCCCAAAATTTTTGGTCTTTTTTTGTTAATTTAGCAAAAAATAAAAACCCCAGCAGTGATTAAATACCACCAAAAGAAAGCTCAAGTTGTGTGAAGAAAATGATAAAATTTTAGTTTGGGTACAATGTTGTATGACCGCGCAATTGTCATTCAAAATGTGAGAGCGCTGAAACCTGAAAAATGGCCTGGGCAGGAAGGTGTAAAATTGCACGGTATTGAAACGGTTAAAGAGTTCTATATATGAGATTCATCTCAGCACTGGTTAGATCCCTCTTAACGGATTTTGAGCTGTCAAACAAAGTTTGCAAAAGTAAGGTCACAGCCAGAATGGGATGAAGGGAAGGAACCACCAACTCTATCCCACTCCATAGAGCAGTCTACAGTGGGGATCGAAAGTTTGGGCACCCCAGCTAAAAATTTGTATTAATGTGCATAAAGAAGCCAAGGAAAGATGGAAAAATCTCCAAAAGGCATCAAATTACAGATTAGACATTCTTATAATATGTCAACAAAAGTTAGATTTTATTTCCATCATTTACACTTTCAAAATAACAGAAAACAAAAAAATGGCGTCTGCAAAAGTTTGGGCACCCTGCAGAATTTATAGCATGCACTGCCCCCTTTGCAAAGCTGAGACCTGCCAGTGTCATGGATTGTTCTCAATCATCGTCTGGGAAGACCAGGTTATGTCAATCTCAAAGGTTTTAAATGCCCAGACTCATCTGACCTTGCCCCAACAATCAGCACCATGGGTTCTTCTAAGCAGTTGTCTAGAAAACTAAAACTGAAAATAGTTGACGCTCACAAAGCTGGAGAAGACTATAAGAAGATAGCAAAGCGTTTTCAGATGTCAATATCCTCTGTTTGGAATGTAATTAAGAAATGGCAGTCATCAGGAACAGTGGAAGTTAAAGCAAGATCTGGAAGACCAAGAAAAATATCAGACTGAACAGCTCGCAGGATTGTGAGAAAAACAATTCAAAACCCACGTTTGACTGCACGATCCCTCCAGAAAGATCTGGCAGACACTGGAGTTGTGGTACACTATTCCACTATAAAGAGATACTTGTACAAATATGGTCTTCATGGAAGAGTCATCAGAAGAAAACCTCTTCTACAACCTCACCACAAAAATCATCGTTTGAACTTTGCAAATGAACATATAGACAAGCCTGATGCATTTTGGAAACAAATTCTGTGGACCGATGAGGTTAAAATTGAACTTTTTGGCCGGAATGAGCAAAGGTACGTTTGGAGAAGAAGGGGCACAGAATTTAATGAAAAGAACCTCTGTCCAACTGTTAAGCATGGGGTTGGATCAATCATGCTTTGGGGTTGTGTTGCTGCCAGTGGCACAGGGAACATCTCACGAGTAGAAGGAAAAATGGATTCAATAAAATTTCAGCAAATTTTGGATGGTAACTTGATGCCATCTGTGAAAAAGCTGAAGTTAAAGAGAGGATGGCTTCTACAAATGGATAATGATCCTAAACACACCTCAAAATCCACGGGGGATTACATCAAGAGGCGTAAACTGAAGGTTTTGCCATGGCCTTCACAATCTCCTGACCTCAACATAATTGAAAATCTATGGATAGACCTTAAAAGAGCAGTGCGTGACAGACAGCCCAGAAATCTCAAAGAACTGGAAGACTTTTGTAAAGAAGAATGGGCAAAGATACCTCAAACAAGAATTGAAAGACTCTTGGCTGGTTACAAAAAGTGTTTACAAGCTGTGATACTTGCCAAAGGGGGCAGTACAAGATATTAACTCTGCAGGGTGCCCAAACTTTTGCAGACGCTATTTTTTTGTTTTCTGTTATTTTGAAAGTGTAAATGATGGAAATAAAATCTAACTTTTGTTGACAGATTATAAGAATGTCTAATCTGTAATTTGATGCCTTTTGGAGATTTTTCCATCTTTCCTTGGCTTCTTTATGCACATTAATACAAATTTTTAGCTGGGGTGCCCAAACTTTCGATCCCCACTGTATATACAGGTATCTGCTCCCACACAACAGCCATATCTACAGATCCCTATCCTCCACAATAGCCATATAAACAGTTCCCTGACCTCCCCCAGCAGTCATATATACAATCCTTCCTACTACAGCAACCATATAAAAAGAACACCCGTTCCCCCTTCTTTGTATGACCTCAGCCCTGGAGCTCTGCTTGAAGTGGGACTTCACTGACAAACAGAAGTTCCACTTTTCCTTCTCCCCCCCCTCCATGGTTACCCATTTCTGGAAGGTACCTGCTTCCACTTTTACTGGGATCACCTAGTTTGCCCCCTACCCCCATCTCCCTGCCCATAATCCCCAGGGACACGTCACACTTCCCAAGAGACTGCAGGACCATTCACAAAGCGCAGCGTGGCTCACGCATGCACAGTGGGGAGCCAGCTGTGAAGCCATAGGGAGTGACAGCCAACTTTCCACAGTCAATGTGGTGGTGCTAGGGACATAAAGACCAGCAAAGAACTTGGCCAGGTAAAGGACAGTGGATCCTTGGACTGGCAAGTGCTTCTTTATTAAGAAATCAGCAACTAGTGTATTTGTATTTTTTAAAGTGACTGAATAACCTCTTTATTGCCCCAGAAAAGGGACTGACCTTGACAATTTTGTTAACTTTTGTTGTAGGCGTAGGTGGAGGCGGTAACTCAGGACCAGGATCAATCTCTTCATCTGGGGCCAGATCAGGGTTAAGTGCAAATATGCTATCCAAGTCAATCTAAAAGAAAAAAAAAAAAAGCAATTTCAGAGACTGCTGCTCAGACACAAAAACATACAGAAAATTGGCATATTGATACGATATATAGCACCTGTCAACAGAGTCTGATGGGGCAACACCATGTTGACCTGCAAAGTATGTCTTTTGGAACATTTCTTTCTTTTAAAGCTCATTAACATGGATGCTTAGCCCGTACTTTGAAGAGCCATTTGTTTATTTTTCTGTAGGAGTGCTCAGCTGTGTGCTCACAGCCCAAACAAGTGAATGGACACTCACCAGTAGTAAAGACTCGCACAGCAGAGTTTGACAGGTACCCAGGGATGGGTGCTCAGGCTATCCATCTGGATCCGTGCACCTGTCAAGCTCGGCTGTGCAGGTGAGTGTACAGCCAATAACCCTACTAAACTGACAAAGATATAATGCAGCAAGTGCCGTCCTGAGCCATATAGGAATAAAACAGCCCCCAATGTATTTAAAGGGATACTTCACCTTTACCAAAAAACTGCCTATACAGATAAGGGGGGTGTCTGTAGATAAAAACAGACCGCTCAGCTCTAACTAAAGCTGAAGAATACCCTTTCTATAGGTGTAGGACATTTATGTACCTCATGAAGCCTGACTGGAATACTCCCAGGATGTTGCTAAGTGAGGCCTAGTCATTACTGCTCACCTCCTCCATCACAGGAGTGAGCTCTCAAGACTTACTACAGAAGGATCATGCAAGGGCGTCTGCATCAGAAAAAAAGCTCACTCCTGTGATGGTGAGGTTGAGCAGTAAATGACTAGGCCTTGCTTAGCAACGTCCTGGGAGTATTCCAGTCAGGCTTTATGAGGTACATAAACTGCCTACACCTAAAGCAAGGACATTATTCAACTTTAGTCAAAGACACGGTTTGTTTTTATCCATAGACGCCCCTTACCTGCATATGCAGTTCTTTTGTGAAGGTAAATTATCCCTTTCACTAGAGGAATAGTGCACCTCCTACTATAGTGGTCTATAAAGAAATATTGCAGCACCTGTGAAATTGAGCTATAGAGCAAAGATGCAGCACCTACTTTACTGAGCTATAGCAAATTAATTGTGTTGCTGCTATACTCAGCTCTGCAGGAACGGCACAGTCCATATATAACTAAGCTATAGGGAAATATGGTAGAACAACAAGCTGAAAGTAACTGGGACAGAAGGAATAGGAATGCAGGACACGTATGTAGGCATTGATGACAACATTTTCACAAACAGCTGTGCAATTAAATTAGCAATATGCTGCTAGGTCGGAGACAGGTAAATAACAAAACCTGAGATTGCCAAGAATTTGTAAATCTTTAGATTGCTGCAATGGAAGTCTATAGAGATGAAGTTTGCTGCTGGATCGGAAGCATTGAGCTAATGGTACAGCTGTGTTTTCTGCACATTGTTTGGAAATTCTTAACTACAGACAAGAGAGCAAGGCAGTACGTTTAATTAACACTTTACACTTACATCAAATCAATAATATATTTCCTGGAGCTCTTCTAACTACCCTTACTATTAGATGTCTAAGGATTACATTTACCTACCTCCTTTCCTTTTGTGTCTCCATTTTCAATCCATTCTACTGTAATACTCTCACTGTCCTCATTTAGGGACGTTACCATGGCTTGGTGTATTCGACCTGCAAAACCAACACATTGACAGCACATTAGGCAAGAGCCAATAACTTTTTTTTTTTTTTTTTCAAAAAAGGCAACTGACCACTTCAGTACACAGGTTAGTTACAATGATGGGGGATCTCATAATAGCTAGGTATGATTTAGGGTAATGATAGACATTAAATTGTTGACACTGATAGACATTGTTGACTCCAATTCTGGTGGTTTTCAAACCAGTGCCTCTAAGCAGCCTGCTGAGGCCAAGGCTAATCTGTGTGAACGGGGATTTGAAAAAACATTGTTAACCAATTTTGCAATCTGCTAAGTAGGGGAAAACTTTAAAGAGATACTGAACTCTGGAAGCTTTGGGAAAAAAAAAAAAAAAAAGAAGGAGCAAAGGACAGATCACCAGCATTGCTTGTGTTCCCTCTGCAGTTGATCTTTCACTAGATTCCCAATTTAAAATGCCTTGTTCTGCATTGTGCGAGTAAAAGCAGCCATATTGGTAAAGGCAGAGTATCGCTTCCTTTACGTCAGAAGGGGAACAGTCAGCAGCACAGTAGTGTCATTGCCAAATCTCAATGCAAGTCTTCTCAGACTAGCTGTCAGAGGCATCAGTGCCTTAGATATCACACTACAAATATACAGCTTCGGGACCATGGGCACGGGAAAGAATTGTAGGGAAAAAAAAAAAAAATATACATTTTTCTGGATACTGCTTAGGTACAATTAACATTTCTAAAAATTGCCTAAGCCACAGCAGATCTTGACTTTAGGTCTGCTTACACTATGCCGTTGTGGTAAAGCATACATTACTGCAACAAGTAAAAACGCACAATACATGCTTTTCTCCAATGTGGTGCCGTTCGATTGAATGGTACCCCAAAGCTGAAGGACATGCACTGCAGAGCACTGGAAAGCAACACACCAATTGGCATTGTAGCATGCATGCTCCAATTGTTGTGCATTCATTGTAATGTATTGCGTGTCCGCTGCAAAGTGTACAGAGGTGTTATTCACAATGAATGGCACTGCATTGTGCTAACATGTTTAAGCGTTCATGTTGAGTTAAACATGGCTAAAACACCAACATGACCTGATTGCTTGCAGCCTCTAACTACAGTCAGGTCCATAAATATTGGGACATAGACACAATTCTAAAATGTTTGGCTCTATGCACCACCACAATGGATTTGAAATGAAACGAACAAGATGTGAGGCACATATGCAAACTGTTGTAATTCCTAAACCGTTCACCTGATTTGGATGTAAATACCCTCAAATTAAAGCTGACAGTCTGCAGTTAAAGCACATCTTGTTCGTTTTATTTCAAATCCATTGTGGTGGTGTATAGAGCCAAAAATGTGAGAATTGTGTCGATGTCCCAATATTTATGGACCTGACTGTAAATGTAAGACGACATGTCACAAAGAACAAGAAACTGTGTTTGTACAGTCCTGGCCAAAAGTTTTGAGCATGACACAAATATTTTCACAAAGTCTACTGCTTCAGTGTTTTCAGATCTTTTTGTCAGATGTTACAATGGTATACCGAAATATTAATTACAAGCATTCCTTAAGTGTCAAAGGCTTTGACAATTACATTAAGTTTATGCAAAAAATATTTTCAGTGTTGACCTTTTTTCAAGATCTCTTTAATTCACCCTGGTACACCGTCAATTAACTTCTGGGCCACATCCTGACTGATGGCAGCCCATTCTTGCATAATCAATGCTTGAAGTTTGTCAGAATTTTTGTTCACCTATCTCTTGAGGATTAACCACAAGTTTTTAATTATATTAAAGTCTGGAGAGTTTCCTGGCCATGGACCCAAAATTTCGATATTTTGTACCCCAAGCCACTTAGTTATTACTTTTGTCTTATGGCAAAGTTCTCCATTATGATGGAAAAGACATTGTTCGTCACCAAACTGTTCTTGGATGGTTCAGAGAAGTTGCTCTTGGAGGTTTTTGTACCATTCTTTATTCATGGCTGTGTTATTCATGGCAAAATTGTGAGTGAGCCTACTTCCTTGGCTAAGAAGAGAACCTTACACATGAATGGTCTCAGGATGCTTTACTGTTGGCATGACACAGGACTGATGGTGGCGCTTACCTTCTATTTTCTGAATGCCCCAAACACTCAGAAGGGGGATTCATCAGAGAAAATGAATTTACCCCAGTCCCCAATAGTACAATCCTTGTACCTTCTGCAGAATATCAGTCTGTCCCTGATGTTTTTCCTGGAGAGAAGTGGCTTTTGTGCTGCCTTTGACACCAGGCCATCCTCCAAAAGTCTTTGCAGATGCACGCACACCTGCCTGCTGCCATTCCTGAGCAAGCTCTACACTGGTGGTGTCCCAGTCCCGCAGCTGAATCAACTTTAGGAGATGATCCTGAGCTTGCTGGACTTTCTTGGGCGCACTGAAGCCTTCTTCACAACAATTGAATCTCTCTCCTTGAAGTTCTTGAGGATCCGATAAATGGTTGATTTAGGTGCTTAGTAGCAGCAATATCCTTGCCTGTGAATCCCTTTTTGTGCAAAGCAATATTGGCTGTACATGTTTCCTTGCAGGTAATCATGGTTAACAGAGGAAGAACAATGATTTCAAGCACCACCCTCCTTTTAAAGCTTCCAGTCTGTTAATCTAACTCAATCAGCATGACAGAGTGATCTCCAGCCTTGTCCTCGTCAACACTAACAATTGTGTTAATGAGCAGATCACTGACATGATGCCAACTGATCGTTTTGTGGCAAGGCTGAAATGTAGTGGAAATGTTTTTTTGGGGATGAAGTTCATTTTAATGGCAAAAAGGGACTTTACAATTCATCTGTTCACTCTTCATAACATTCTGGAGTATATACAAACTACCATAATTACAATTGAGGCAGCAGACTGTGAAAGTTAATATTTGTGTAATTCTCAAAACTGTTGGCCAGGGCTGTACACCAACAACTTTAAAGCGGAGGTCCTCACCAGTTTCTGTACACTGATAGCATTAAAGTTGTTGTTCCACCCTACTTCACCCAATGTCACTACAGGAAAGAGACACAACCACGGCCAAAGACCAGGCATACAACACATCCCAAGTTTGTCAGACGCAGAGGATTCTTTTGGAGCCAAAGTTCAAGAAAGTGAAGATAAAAGTAAACACCCACTGTAGGTGTAAGGATTCTTAATCATCTTTTATATAAAAAGGCACTTTAAAGGAACAACACAAAATTAGTCAGATGTCACCAGAGACACAAATCTAGATTGAAATAACGTAGTCTATGCTGGCTACACAATTTCGTTGACGCTCCAATCTCAGGGCGGGGAAGTTATTTAAACGCAAGGTATTTTCTTCCAATTTATAAACAGTCTTTATCTTATACTCCATACAATCAGTGCATGCAGTAGGTAGAGGTGACCTGATTTAATAAATGCCAGACAGCTTAGTCATAACTTCCACACAGAACATAATAGCAAGTCTGTTTCATTCTGTATATTAAACTAGAGAGAAACAAACGTATTTACTAGAGGGAGAGTATTATGGAATCTGTGACATGCTTGGAGAGATAAACTACAAAAGGTCCATAAGTAGGACAATTACCACCAGATGTATGTCGGTTGTTTTTTTCGAGCAAATAGAATTTTATTCAAAGAAATAAAATACACTAAGGGTCTGTTCACACCAGCGAACCAATTTTAACAGAGCAGAGGGTTGCAAACAACTATTCCAGGGACAGCTGCTTAATTACTCCTCAGGCCCCATTCACACTTGGGCAAAGCTTCTTTGGCCCGTTTTTTGGGTGGAGTGTGCAACACCATGGCAGTTGCAGAGCAAACAGAGCCTAAGACCCCGGTCACACTGGATGCGAATTGGCATGCAATTTGCAAGCCGTGTGACTTGAAAAATCGCATGCTAAATCACAGCTTATTGTCCACAATTAGAATGGTCATATCCGTGCGGTTCCGATTTGGTCGGAGCTGCACTGATTTCTAAAGTAGTACATGCACTACTTTTGGTGCGATTTGCATCGACATCTGTATCAGATGTCTTGCAAATCACACCTGAAATCGGCATGTCACCCGACTTTGAAATTGTGCGACTTCACTGTAAGTCACACGATTTCAAAGTAAAGTTTGATGTGACCGGCATGTAAGATGGCATCCTCCTTTGCTGTAAAAAAAAAAAAAATAGTAATAGGAGAGTTTAGTTCTACTTTAAACTACAGAAATCCTAGGCATCTTGACCATGTGCTACAGTATCCAAGAAAAATCCAAAAACGTGGGCTCTTTATCAGGAATCTGAGGATGAATATATAAAATCTACCATCGCTAACGTGTTTTAATACTTCTATCATACAGGCTCACTGATCTGTACAGCCATGAGAAGGGCCATCTCATACGCGTGGGGATGCAGCGGTGTTCTGTGCAGCCGCAATGCACGGTCAGACCTGCACTAACGCACTCTCTGGGATGCACTTGGAGGTCCATGTAGTGAGCAGCCTGTCATTGACGTGTACAGGCTGTCTGCGCAGAACACCTGTGCATCCAGGAAAAAGTGAAGACGACCTTACACATGAGTATACTAATCGGTATTTCCCTGTGAATGAGGCCTAAAGTGTCTAGATGCTGAGTAGTTATCCTGATCTTGGCTTAACTACCCAATAGGCCGTTAAAATGTAACAAGTCAGTTAGGCAGGAAAAACATGAACTCCTGTACTGCATACAAGGAGATTAGGGATGCACCAAAATTTTGGCCACCGAAACATATCGACCGAAAAAAAGCCCCATCGGCATTCTGCAGATAGGAAAAATTTAGCCGATACAGGTGCCGATACAGGGGACTTTGTGTACTGCAGATGTGTGTGGGGGGAGGAGATGGCTGAGAAAGGCAGGAAAGGAGCAGTATATAGTGACTGGCTGTCACTATGGGGTTTATTTACTAAAGCTGGAGAGTCCAAAATCAGACTCCCTTCTGCATAGAAACCAATCAGCTTCCAGGTTTCATTGCCAAAGCTTCATTGAACAAGCTGAGG